TTTGTAAGGCTTATCCCCCTTTCCCCCATCCAATGTTGCGATTTGAAGTCGAAATTGAAAAGAAAGGCCTGAAACGGTGCTAACAATCACTAACCAACGTACATTGAAAAGGGTGCGGGAGCATGGAGTGTCTCGTTTATTTTGCATAAGATTGAATCTCTTGCAAAATAAAACGTGCCATCATGATTTTGTAAGGCTTATCCCCCTTTCCCCCATCCAATGTTGCGATTTGAAGTCGAAATTGAAAAGAAAGGCCTGAAACGGTGCTAACAATCACTAACCAACATTGAAAAGGGTGCGGGAGCATAGAGTGTCTCGTTTATTTTGCATAAGATTGTAGTCCGGTCTGCAGTCTGCAGATTATACTGACCGATTATTTATGTGTAGCGAAGTTTGGCACGAATCAGCTGAAATCTCTGAAGACCCACGTCAATGTTTTCTAAGGCCTGGTTCACATAAAATCGTTAAGAAGTCGCAGACAGTCGCAGACATGTGCCGAATTTTTATATGAACACAAATGCAGATTCGCGCAGACTGTCTGAGACCGGATCGGCGACGGATCGGGAAAGTTGAACTTGGTTCAACTTTCCCGATCCGTCGCAGATCGTTCATATAAAAATTCGGCACATGTCTGCGACTGTCTGCTACTGGTTAACGATTTTATGTGAACCAGGCTTAAGATATACCGATATTTATGGAGATTTTCAACCACAGGCAAAGCTGGATCTAGGCGTCTCCATACAAGTGGTGATTCACAAGAAATTTGCTTTCTCTTGTCTTGAACAATATGGCTATTTTCTTTAATATTTAGTTTAAATATGCTGTTATAGATCTGACTTAGTTCTATATAAATAAACACAAATATAAAACCTCGCGTAACCTGTTTACGCTGTACAGGAATGTACGGATTCGCTTGTTTTGCCCAACACCAAGACTTGCCTTTCAGGAGCAATGCTTGCTTACACACTTTATCCCCTTAAGTCTTCACAATCTTTGTTTTATTTTATCGTATAGTCGCAATTTTCAAGTATTCTGGGTATTCTGTGAATTCTGATACTGATATTAAAAACTCGGTGGCGTGACGAATCTTGTAGAGACTACATCGGCCTAGGCGTAGAGCTATTACTGTAAGTAAACAGGGCCTAAATTAATTTAGTGGTTTCATTTAATTGTTTGTCTTGCTTTTATTTATCAGTATAGAATATTGTAAATTAAAATATTACTACAATGCAATACGCGTAGTATTTCATCAGACATCTGCATTACATTATAAATACTGTACAAGGAAAACTACAGCCGGCTTAAATAATAATAGACGTTTCTTGTTTTGTCAGGAAACACCACAGCTCACGTCGACACTGCTTTCGAGTTTTGTACCCGGCCTAGGCGAAAGTAAATCATGCAGTCGTGAAAACGTCTTAGGCCGCGTTTACATGCACTATGACGCTACGGCAAATTTACCGTAGCGTATTGATTTGCATCCGGAGTGCCAAACGTAGTGGTCCGTACTTAATACGCTACGGCAAACCACTCCGTATAGTGTCAGGCTATAGTCATAAACGTAGTGATTTTTAACGGAGCGACAGCGTAGCGTATTAGTGTAAGTGTACACGGTACCTTAATACGCTACGGCAAACCACTCCGTTATAGTGTAAACACAATACTATAAACGTAGTGAATTTTTAACGGAGTGCTAACCGAAGCGTTATAGTGTAAACGCGGCCTTACTTTGAAAGATTATTTTGCAAAACATACTCGCACACACAAGAATCATAAAAATACAAATGTTGAATTGTTATTGTCAACTGTTAAGTTCAGTTATTTTTAGACAATATGGTGTTAGCCAATCAGAATGCAAAATTGACCGGCCCAGACCTGCAGGCTCCATTTACTGTTCTAGAACATTTGGAACACTATATTCATTATTATTCGCATAATAAAGCGTATAATGATTCGCTGTTATTTGTACATCTACGTATGCTTTTGCAACGTTTTTCTCGTTCATTTTGCCCAACCGTGGCGTTCAAATAGCATATGATAAGTATAAAATGTCGAAATATAGCGGTTAACCCTTCAAAATAACGTTCTATACAGTGTGCATTGGATACACAAAATATGTCGCCTCATTTCCAATCACGTGAACATAGGCAGTGTCACGTGTCTGTTCTGGCTGCCCCTACTCGAAAATCGGGGTAGTCAGAACAGTTCAGAACAGTCATGTGACTCTCTTCTGTTCCATTCCATTAGTGTTCCGAAAATCTGGAGTACTCCGAACAGTAAATGGAGCAGCTTGCAGGGCTTTCTCGTCTCTCCCCTCGTCCTCACATGAAAGCCCTGCATGGGAACGAGGTTGCGTTCAGACTATACTGGCATAAAGCAGTTAACACGGGGGGGGGGGGGTGCCAAACCGGAGAAATGTACGTGATTATATGAAAGAAACAAAGTGAAGCTTTTAATTTAAACGTAAAATAATGAAATTTGTGCACCTCAAAAGAGAGCGTCAGTGTGTTTCTCCCGCAGAGAAAACGTTTTGAATGTGCATGTTTAGAATTCATTGTTATAAATTGCTATCGCGGAAATGTTTTGTAAATTTATAAAGTTGATTCAAAAGGGTTATGTGCATGCCTTCATTATGCGCCTTTGTGTAAGGATTGAAAACTAAATATTGTTCATATTTGTCACGGTTTCTGCTTTCCTTTTTTCGGTGTTTTTATTTTTTTAAGACACTAGACATAAACCCATAATTATTTAACATCCATATCTGGATAAGTTTCCTTTCAGATAAACAGCAAAGAGGAGTAGTAAATGGAATCTTTATGGGACTTTTAGCTATAGAGCGAACATTTTGTTTCTTAAGTAAAACTAGAAATATATGCATGCAGCAACCTCTCGCCTATATGTTTCAAACATTGATTTAACATGAAATATTAGTAATTGATCAACACTAAACGTAGGCTTGCGTTTTCGTCAGTGTTGCCATAGCAACCCCTTGCGAAAATAACTATATTTTGTTATATAGCTAGCGCGAACACCAAACGTGATTGGCTGATTAGTGGTCACGTGACTTCAGATAGATGCAATGTTTCCCGCCGGGCAACAAGTGAAAAATTGTTGCCGCCCCGACCGGCCACGTACATAAATAAACAAAATGGAGGCACAACTCAAATAATTAGAAACTACGATTTTCCAAGTTTGTGTTCAAATAAAGAAAATAAAAGAAGAAAAATACACAACAGGCGACAGGATATGCTGCTGAAATCGTTTAAGTAGGTTCTTTTAATTTTAAACTCGATCGTTTACACTATAGAGTTTTTGTCACGAAATACAATTGTTGTATGAATGTTGTTGAAGTTGATTTTTGTTCGTCGCTATATAACAAAACACTTAATGCCTGTTTCCTCGGGAAATAGTTAGTTTTGTTTTCCCTCGAATCTTAATGTTTCCCTCGACTTCGTCTCGGAAGACATTGAGATTCTCGGGAAAACAAAACTAACTATTTCCCTCGGGAGCAGACATTAAGTGTATAATATTGCTATTTCAAAACTATTTTATTACTATCACCCCCATTTTTAGGCTATTTTATCGAGAGGCAACCCTATTTTAATTCTATCATAATATTTCACTAAAAGAAAGAGCCATATTTTATTAATGTTTTACTTTATTTTATTCCTATTTTTATAGATAATATAAATAAAATCGCATATTTTAATGCTATATTTTCCAGAGCCTCGGCGAAAAAATAGGTTTAAAATAGCCTATTTAAATCCTATTTTACTTCATTAGATTGCAGTTAGAAATTAAAATAGATATAAAATATACTATTTTTAAACTCATGAAATAAATTAAAACAGGCTGTTTAAATCCTATTTTACACTTTGCAAGGTAAATGCATAAATTTCAAACAGGGATAAAATATACTATTTTAATCCTATCTTTCTTTCTTAGCTTGCAAAATAACAATAAAATAGACTATTTGAAACATATTTTGCATGTCCAGAAAATTACATAAATCAAAATAGATATAAAATATACTATTTTTAAACTCATAAAATAAAATAGGCTGTTTAAATCCTATTTTACATTGCAAGTTAAATGCCCAAATTTCAAACAGGAATAAAATATACTATTTTAATCATATCTTTCTTTCATACTTAGCAAAATAACAATAAAATAGACTATTGTAAACATATTTTGCACGTGCAGAAAATTACATAAACTAAAATAGATATAAAATATAGTATTTTTAAACTCATAAAATAATTTAAAATAGGCTGTTTAAATCCTATTTTACACTTTGCAAGGTAAATGCATAAATTTCAAACAGGGATAAAATATACTATTTTAATCCTATCTTTCTTTCTTAGCTTGCAAAATAACAATAAAATAGACTATTTGAAACATATTTTGCACGTCCAGAAAATTACATAAATCAAAATAGATATAAAATATACTATCTTTAAACTCATAAAATAAAATAGGCTGTTTAAATCCTATTTTACATTGCAAGTTAAATTCCCAAATTTCAAACAGGAATAAACCATACTATTTTAATCCTATCTTTCTTTCATACTTAGCAAAATAACAATAAAATAGACTATTGTAAACATATTTTGCACGTGCAGAAAATTACATAAATTAAAATAGATATAAAATATAGTATTTTAAAGCTATTTATTTTTTAGAATACGCAAAACAGAATAAAATAGACTATTTTAAACCTATTTCACATTTTAAAAAATGCCACACTTTTCAAATAGGGATAAAATATACTATTCTAAACCTATTTACTTTCCCTAATTTGCATAATATAATAAAATACACTATTTTAATCCTATTTTGCATTTACAGGAATTCAGGATTACAATTTGCAGATATGTATAAAAGATAGTCTATTTAAATTAAAACATACTGAATTTTCTTACTTAGCAAAATGAAATAAAATAGAACCGTATTTTACATTTACACAGATAAGGAACCAATCATTAATATTGGAAGGGGGGGGGGATAGGGGCGGTGGGTGAGAAAAGGGGATGCTTCAACTATTGCGTCATCCCCACTGGTCATTCCATGCAGTGCTTCCACTTGCAAGGAAATTTCTTTGCAAAAAGAAATAAAATTTACCAGGAAACGGCAAGGAATTTTGTTTTCAGCAAGGAACTAAGGATATTACGTTATTTCTAATAAATCCTAACATTATAGCAATTCCCAAGCAAATTCGCGTCAGAAAATGTCAAACGTCGAAATCCTACTAATGGGAATGGAAAATTTGTTGAAGTTTCTTTATAATTAATTTATAATTTATAATTGCAACGTTCATGGTGTTTCTTGCCCGAGAAACACACCGCCATTCAGGATAAATTATTGTAATATCAGTTTTAAACTAGGTGCAAGGAATGTCAAAAATAAGGAAATTTTGAGCAGTTGGGAACGAAATTCTTTTTTGGGAGTGGAAGCACTGAATTTACACCGCCATATTTTTTATAATCAGTTCGTGATGGTTTGTGATTTCGAAGTTACAATACTTCGCTCGATTTTTATGCTTGCCCAAAGGGGACAAAATTATGAACATGTACATATCATTTCCATTATAGTCTAGGACCTGTATATGAGTTTGTATGTGATTCATTTAGGACAGGTAATCTCAACTGTTTTAGGGTAAAATGACCATGGCGGTCAACATGGCATATGTGCGGAAACCTGAATCCGGGACGAAAGTCCTGAAAATAACACCGCCCTGAAACGGCAGTGTCGACATAGCTCTAACTTCCGAAAACGAAAAGCGATAGCCTTTCTGAAGTGCTTATAGTGTTTAGAAGGGTTACTTTTAGGGGTGGTCATTGGAAGGAAAAATTTGTCAAAGTATAATATTTTACCAGAAAATGGCTATGCACCACCCCAGGTAAATTGCTG